GTTATTAACGGAGATTTGTTAAATATTTCTCAAAAATTACTATACCGTTGACTCAATTGACTCTAAAAGGAGAAACATTTGAGTGGACAGATCAGAGGAAATTTGCATTTCAGGAACTAAAGACAAGACTGACCATAGCTCCAATCCTTACTATACCATCAGCAACTGAGGGATTTGTTATCTTTATATGCATTATATAAGGGTTTGGGTTGTGTCTTAATGCAGAACGGTAAAGTGATTGCATATGCCTTCTGACAATTGAGACCACACGAGAAGAATTACTTGATGCGTGATTTAGAACTTGTGGCAGTTGTGCTTGCATTGAAAATATGGTGACACTACTTATATGGGGCCAAATATGAGGTGTATACAGATCAAAAGAGCCTAAAATATTTTTTCACACAGAAAGAATTGAACATGCGACAAATGTGATGGCTTGAATTAATCAAAGATTATGATATACAAATTCACTATCATCCGGACAAGGCCAACACTGTAGCAGACACACTCGGTAGGAAGAATGTAGGGAATCTGGCTTATTTGCTTACAGATTAGAAAGAACTTCTACGGGAATTTGAAAGACTTGAAATAGAAGTGATGCCTTATGAGTAAGACAGCTCAATGGCTGCAATTTCAGCACAGCCAACCATCATAAAAGAAATCAAACAGAAGGAAAAGAACCATGAATTCTTAAAGAAGATATGTGATGAGTTCGAAACCAAACCTAAACCGAGGTTCACAATTGAAGATTAAGTATTGAAATTTTAGGGGAGACTCTGTGTTCCTAATGATGCAGACTTGAAAAAAAGAATTTTGAAAAAAGCTCACAAGTCAATGTTCTCCATGCATCCCAAAAATACCAAGATGTAACAAGATTTGAAGCAAGTGTATTCGTGGCCGAACATGAAAAGAGAAATTGCCAACTTCAACTCCAAGTGCCTTCAATGTCAACAAGTAAAAGCGGAGCATCAGAAATCGATAGGCTTACTTCAATCCCTCTCTATTCCAGAATGGAAATGAGAGCATATCACCATGGACTTCATCGTCGGTCTAGCTCGAACAACTAGAGGTATGAATGTTATCTGGATTATAGTAGATAGATTAACAAAGTCTGCCCATTTTCTTGTTGTGAAAACTTCGTTTAATGCATATAGACTTGCTACAATTTACATTGATGAGATTATCCGTTCACATGGGGTCCCAGTGTCTATTGTATCGAATAAAGATCCTAAATTTGTTTCTAGATTTTGGCATAGTTTACAAAATGAAATGGGGATGGAGTTAAGGTTTAGTATCGCATTTCATCTGCAAACTGACGGGTAAACAGAGAGAACCATCCAAACCTTAGAGGACATGCTTCGTATTTTCTTGTTGGAATTTCAAGGCAGCTGGGAAACATATTTACCGTTGGCTAAATTTGCTTATAACAACAGTTTCCACGCCAGTATCGATATGGCACCATATGAGACATTGTATGGTAGAAAGTGTAGATCTCTAGTTTGTTGGACTGAGGTTGGTGATAGAGCTATATATGGGACAAAACTTGTGCATGAGACAACAGAAAAGATAAAGATTATTTAACAAAGGCTCAAAACTGTTTAGAGTCGACATAAAAGTTATGTGGACCAACAAAGAAGAAATTTAGAATATGAAGCAAGGGATCATGTATTTGTCAAAGTGACGCCGATGAAAGGGCAAATGAGATTTTGTAGAAAAGGGAAATTGACTCCTCGTTACATCGAACCATTCTAGATCCTTGAGAGACTGGGTCCTGTTGTTTACTGAATTGCTTTACCACCGAAAATGGAATAGATTCACAATGTATTTCACATTTCAATGCTTCAAGGCTATCTTAGAGATCCATTCCATGTAATAAATTACCACCGGATAGCATTAGATGACGATATGAAATACGAAGAATGGCCGGTACAAATCATTAACTGACAGGTGAAACAATTGAGAAACATATTGATTCCAATGGTGAAGGTAGAATGGAGGGAACATTATGGGAAGGAAACTACTTGGAAGAAAGAAGATGAGATGCGGCAACAATACCCGCACTTATTTCCGAATGAAGGTAACTTAAGTTTGGAGGATCAAACTTTGTAAAGAGGAGAGACTGTGACGACTCTAACGTATATATTATTTTTAAATATCATTTCACTTCACATTTAATAATAAAATTGTATATTTGTCTTAATTATAATTTTTAAATTTGTATATTTTCATAACAAGAAGATATATATCATAACTCATGTAATCTCATTTAATTAGGTTTAACTTTTTTTTATTACAAATTATCAGATAAGTATCTTATATATATATATATATTTTTTAATTTCTTTCACCAAATTAAATTTTAATTTTTTTAAAAAAATTATGAAACAAATTTTTGAAAACCAAATCAAATATCGCCTTTCATCTTCCCAAATGTAGCCTAGTAGAACCTAGATGTCTGCTTGTCGAGCCATTTATCTGGATCAGTTGATGAAAGTTGATGAATTAATTCTTGTCCTCATAAGAGCAAATTGAGTTGTGTAGTATTTAAATGTAGTAATGCTAAAATAGGCACCACACAACATAACAATCATTCCAACGGAATCGTAGTATATGCTTTGTTAAAATAGCACATTGTTATTTCTTAAATTAAATTTGGCACACGGTGTAGCATACTATTATTTTACACTACACCCAAGTTGATTTTTACATCTATCATTAATTTATTATTATATCATTATTACAATAACAAAGAAATTGAAATTGTTACATTTTCTCACTAATTTATGAATAACAATTATAAAAATTGCACCAAAATTCTTTTGACTTCCTTAATTCTTACCCCCCAAAAAATAATAATCTCACTAATTAATTTGAACTAAATTAATAGTCAGGGGTGGTGATTGATGGGTAATGGAAAAAAAAAACACAAAAAACACGCTACAACTGGAACACCTCTGCTTTAAATCTTATGATGATTAATTCTCATTAGCATAACCTTGTTTTAGTTATCATATCATTGTTAAATAATCATTCTATTTGTTGTTATAATTTGTTATTAATAAGTAAAAAATAATAATTACACTAACAGGGGATATGCTGCTAGGGTTGTTGGGCAAGGCAAGTGAAAAAGGGTTTAATTTCAATTTACAAGTTTTGTTAACAGAAGTTAATATGCATTTTAATCTACAAATTACATGGGCGTTATGTGATTATTTCAAATGATACACTACAAAAAAAATTGTTTTTTGCGACGGTAAAATGGTTTTTTGTGACGGCAAGTGGGGGTCGCAACAAGGGGGGTTGCAAAAGAGTTTTAGCGATGGCAAAGTGCCGTCGCCTTTGTTTTTGTGACGGGAAAATGCATTTTTTGCGACGGCAAATTTCTGTCGCCAATAATGGGTGAAAATCTCAATTTTTTGCGACGGCACAGTATTGTCGTCGCTAAAAGTGTATTTGAGATAGCAACCTGAGCCGTCGCTAAAGGCGTTACATTTCAGCCAAAAAAAAATTGCTTTTTTGCGACGACAAAATGCCGTCGCTATAGGTATAAGGCCTTTTATGAACGTCACTGATACTTATAGTGACGTTTTCATAAACGCCGGTATACTATTAAATCTGCTTAAATAATTCTGTCCAAATAACTGATGCCGTCACAGGATATAGTGGCGTTTTGAACAAAAAACCCCACCCTTTTACTTAATTTCATAATTTAATTAATATAAAATATGCTCTGAACTGATTATTTGCATTCCATTCACAAAAACATCATAACAAAAAATAAAAATAAAAATAACAATTGATAAAACCATCAAATTCAATATTTTACAAAGAACAATTAAACTATACATGTTCATAAAAGCATATTTAAATTATAAAATTCACCCCAATCCTTAAAAAAAATAATAATAAAATAAAATTTAAAATTCACCAATCAGCACAATTGGATATTTAAATGCTCTTACAAAAAATAAAAAAATAAAAAATTTCCAACAAGATTTCAATTTTGGGCCTATTTCAAAAATCAAGCTGCAAATTCCTTACTTCTAGAATCAAATCTTCCCCTCGGCAAAATTTATCCTTTTGACCTACAAATAAATAGATAACAATTGCAAATTATAATCTTTTTGAAGAAAATCTAGAACAAAGTAATAAATACCATCAAAATCATGAAGAGATAAAAGCTAATACACAAATCCCCATGATAATGACAGAGCAAAGATAAGAACTAGGGTTCATAACGTACAAAGTTCATATGCCAGAAAAGAACTGTGTTAGTGACAGACTTTGTAATATTTGAGAAATTTCAAATGTCCTCCAATCATATTCAAATACGTATATGCTTAAATATCATTTGTATTGCACTATGCAGTGCTTGTTGAAACTTAAATATGAATAACTAGTTTGTAGCTTCAAGCCCTAGAATTTGATTTACTCGTAAGAACACTTAATCTTGCCTCTTCCACCTCCCCTTTTTTTTCTTTTAATGAGTGCCGCTTCCATCATCTATTAGCACGTGTTCCACACATTCCAACTATTTAAACACCAGTAATGATACATTGAAAAAATGCAGGTGCTCACTCCACCTTTTTCATTTATTACAAGAACCAAGTATGGGATTTAAAAGAAATCTCAAGTGATGAACAAGTTAAGAACATGTCTATGCTCAAGGATATGTGAGCTGCTTTTGACCTGCCAGTATCTTTTTCTATTTTTGGAATCTTAACAAAGAAGTACGGCTATTTACTACACCACACATTCACAGTTTGACTATTTACATGAAATAAATACACTACTATAAAATACAGAAATGGCCCATCTGTTTTTAAGTATTGTCCATCAGCTTTGAAGCCCATCTGTCATGAGCTGGACATTTGTCCTTTGGTTCTTTTTTCTTCCATGCATTAGACTATGACATGTGTACTCAAAAAAGTTTATCACATGGTTGAACTAAGATGGGCTAAACTTATCTCTCGTGCATGTAAAATGATTATGAGCCAAAACCTAATACGTGTGAACTTATAAAAGCAGGCGAACTTATAAAAGCTAATGAGAAAATTATTATATGTAAACTGACAAACCTTTCACAAACTGATTCAACAAACCAGGAACCTGAAGATGCTGCTAGTAAACATTAACTTCAACTTCACTCCAGACTTAAGAACAAGGATGAAATAAGGGGGGAAAATAAAAACAAGTGCTAATAAAAAAATATATACAAGTGGCAAGAACAATTTACAGCTAAGCAATAAATATGTCATCATCACGAGATAGAGTAAAAGATGATGCAGACACGCCATACCCGATCTAAGAAATATTTGGCAACATCTGGAAGCAAATGAATTTCTTTCCTTCTCTTGTAGGTTTCCTGGATGACAGGATCCTTCCAAATCTCATCTACAATAGGAGCATATTCACATGTTGCAGCAGGAAAGAAAGCATCCAAGTCTCCCATAGCCATGATTTCCAGTAACCAATCAGAAAAATGCTTGAACCTTTGGTGGATGGAATAAACACAGAGTTTACTTCCGTTGGATCCTGTTTCACCTGAATTCATTTGACAAAAACCATTATATGAGCTCAGCAGCCTACGAAATAATATTTGCATACATATATACATCTAGCCACATATTAACCATGAAAGTCTGAAGTCATCCATATTTCAATCACCAAGTCAAAATCTTTAACTTAAAAGAATGACAAAGGGGCAAACATTATAGATTGGAAAGAAAAATTTTATATATGCAACACTAACTGCCAAGAAATTAGTAATTAACATTTAGAGAAGAACAAGGAAGGATCTAATATCCACATCTATGGCATAAAATACTGTGGTAATCAGATTGGCTTCTTCAGTCATTATTTCCTGGCATGCATAAATGATATAGTCCAAATGGTGTGAATGTGAATCCAATTCTTTTGTGTGCATATGTCAATGTAGAATTGATAATTATATTATATAAAATATATTCATAAGGCGCAAAACGGGTGCACACACCATTGAATTTGTGAAGATCTTCAACAAGGACAAACCAACAAAAAGAAGGCAAAAAAAAAAACTGAGAAACTGCTTACTGTTAAACACTCTTACATGTCCCTTCTTGTATTATGATAAAAAGTATTTATGTTGTTTCTATTACGATCTTGAAGGGAAGTGAACGCTTTTAAGTATAATATTGAGACAGTAATGATTCATGCTACATACGCACATGTGTGTGTGGCGTTTGCATGTTCATTTAGTAGAATGGGAAACTCTGCCCACATTGTCTGTTTCATGGGGATCAGCCCCTTAATGTGTATGTTTCCAAAAACAAAAGAATCCATCAAGGCCCTACCAAAGAGCCAATGGCTTCCATAATCGATGTCACGTGATTGATTGGGTTGGTTGAACTCACATGCAAGAAACAAAATGTCATCTCATTTCCACCAAATCAGCCTAAATATAATGTTTTCCTTGATTGGGATACTAATTAAAAACACTAGTGAAAATTCAAAATCACAAGATTCTCACCAAATTTATCATATCACACATAAGCACATCAAACATAACAAAACAATGAGTTGTTTCAACACCATTTCAGAGGCATTCCATGCCCAAAGCCAAATACAAAGTATCATATGAAACTCATAATGTCAAAATATTGGGCTAGTCCAAAAGTTATTACCGGTCAACTGACTCCCCATGCCCAAGCTGTCCATTTGTACCTCTTCCCCAAGAAAATACATTTTTTCTTTCAGTAAAAGCAAGTGTATGCCTCCACCCACATGAGATCTGAACTACTTTCTGCAAGCGAAAAACCAAACCAGCAAAAGATAGTGATAATTAAAAAAGACCCCATATAAGAAATCAAAACCAGCAATATTCTCCATAACACCAAGGAAATAACAAAGAAATTAAATGCAAATTAAAAAATTCAGTAGATACCAAACAGTTTTTCAAATTAAAAAAATTCAACTTTTAAAGTTTTCAGTAGTTAATTTTCAGTTTTAGGAAACAATGCCTAAGTAACAAAATTAAAACAATATAGAAAAATACGCAAGCACATTGCCATAAATGTACCAAAGAAAACTTGTAACTGGAAAAAAAAAATGAATAACAAGATCTAAAAATATCAAATGACCATAACACCAAGGAAATAACAAAGAAATTAAATGCCACAACATTGACATACTGATAAAGATCCATATCCATAAAGGCTGCCTGAAGAAAGCATGCCTAAGCCACTCCCAGATTCAGTTCTCTGTTCATAACCCATTGGAGCAACTGGGGGAACGCTAGGCAAAACTGAAGGCATAGAAAAGCCAGTACCACTAGAATACATAGAATTGGCACCAGCAGAAGTATTATGACCACCTTCCCTGTCTTTTAAGACGTCATCTCGAAGCCGCAGAACAATTTGAATAAGTGCATCCCTCACCCTACTAACTTCCCCAACCACCTGAATGCAGAACAAAACATGTCAATGGAAAGCAAGGTAAAACTACACAAAAATACCAATTATATTAAAAGCTTATGGAAACAGCATGAAATATACCTCAACAAGTTCATCGGTGGAATCAGCACACTTAGGCTTCTCGCCTTTGGAGATACGGACATCAGCTTTAGTTCTCTTCCGGATCTCATTTATGATTGAACCACTTTTTCCAATAATACAACCAATAACTTTAGATGGAACAAGAAGCCGGATAGTTACAGTGTTATCATCTTCGTCGTTTATCTTCCCTTGCAGCAATAAAGCCGCTTCAACTGCTATGGATTTCATGTCATCCGTGGACTGCCAAAAAAAATGGTGCAAAAATATCAAGACAGAGGTAGAAACAGAAAAATTCTTATCAAATGAAACAGAAAAATTCAGAGTCAACAGAGGTAGAAAAGAGAGGATCAGAATTTGTATAAAATTCATAAGACCCATTAATGAAACTGAAAAAAAAAATTAGAACTTTAATAGAGATAGATGGTTAACTCAGTTAAACAAAACAAGAATTCTTGAGAGAGACAGAAAGAAAACTGTGAGAAGACAACAGTTTCAGACAAACAAGGTTACAACACATTAAAAAAAAAATTAAAAAAAAAAAATCTAGCAAATAGTTTATCGGATACAAATCCAAAGAGCGAAGAGTCTTTCAATAAACAAAAAATACAAATTATAAGAACTTATTATAAACCTAATTCGCGAACTCTGATATACTGTTGGAAAACCTAGGAAACGATCGTACCCGCAGATGAGAGAATCCAATTGAACAAAAACCCTAGGCGAAGGGAACACAAAGATGCTTAGATAGAGAGAGATAGATATTGAGAGAGAGAGTTTACCTATGAGTAGATCGGCGGTGCGATGAGATGAACAACGAGAGAGTCGGAGAGTGATCGGTGCAGATATGAAGAACAACGAAACGAGAGAGAGAGAGAGAGAGAGAGAGAGATATTTGGTAGAAATTAGGGATTTTGGTTCGAAGAGATTGGGGCTTTTGGGGGGCGCGGGAATGGAAAAAAGTGGGGGAACCGAGCGGCGGGATTGGGAGAAATAATAATAATAATAATAATAATTTTCATCATAAATGAATATTCAAATAATAAAAATAAATAAATAATAATTTTTATTTTCATCATAAATGAATATTTAATGAATGAAAATTTATTATTATTATTTTTTATTTGGTAGAAGTAAGGATAATATTTTAATGAAAAATATTTTCTATTAAGAGTGATGAGTGAGAGAGAGAGACGGAGAGAGAGAGAGAAACAACAGGCAAAGAGAGAAAGAGATAGAGAGAGAGACAGAAAAAGAGAGAGAAACAAGAGATGAGCGAGAGATAAAAATTATTATTATTTGTTTCATATTTATTTTAATGAATAAAAAAAAAAAAAATTTTTTGGTAGAAGTAGGGATAATATTTTCCATTAAAATAAAGTTAATTTTTTGTGGTCAATGTGGCATTTGCAGTGGTAGCAATGGTAATAATGGAATGACATTTGCAGTAGTGGTGAATGTGGTAGAGAAGATGGGTGGTGAGAGAGAAATGAGTGAGAGATAGAGAGAGAAAGAGAGAGAGACAGACAGACAGAGACAAAGTGATGAGCGAGAGAGAGAGAGAGAGAGACAAAGTGGTCGCTAAAAGTGCATTTTCTTATAGTGG